GTATATATATATATATATATATATATATATATATATATATATATAGGGAGGGAGGGAGATTTCACATGAATTGCTATGAAGTGGGTCCATTTGGACTGTACAGGCATGCTAATTAATAATGGTTAGTTTGTGTGTAGACCCACTTCCAACTTAGATTTTCATTCTTGTCTTTAAACAACTTCAATATTTAATATTTCACAGCGGTTCATGTGATTCCTTTTCAATAAATCTTCACATTATGGTAAGTTTATTATTATTTTGTCAGATTTATTCTGATATTTCTGCTGTAATTAACCACACTCTGTACCAAAAATCCTACACCTCTTTTGAAAATAACCAGTTATTCTAGTCAATATTAATGTAATGTGAAATTGATGGCGGTGTAACAGGGTTTGCAGGAACTTCATTTTAATGACTGGATGTGTTTCAGGATGGAAGATTCCCTTTGATTCTAGTTTTGTTCAGACTAGCTGTTAGCTCATCACTCCTGACACATGTAAATTTTATTTTTCCAAACTGAGACCATTCAAAGGGCTAACATCTACAGCAGGTAAGATAATTCTTCATACCAGTTTTCTTAACAACCCTACTTCAAAATGTCCGAAAGATCCTTTTAAAACTGGAGGGTCTTAGATTCAATTTTGCCCAAACGTTCACTGAAGTATAAGTATTTTAAAGCTTTTTGGTTGTCAAATAATGTAAATGGGTTTTTCCAGAAGTTGTTTGTCTATGTGTTAAGTACTCATCTGAAAATATGAATATATGGAGGATAAATATGATGTATTGCATCTCAAAGGTTCACTTTGTTATAAAGTTTTCTGCAAATGACTTGTCTGAACTTGTGTTGATCATTAATGGTGACTCACAGGAGGAGAAGGTGGAGTTTGTTTTGTTACAGCTTGCATAATTTCTAGTCTTAAATGATGTGATTCCTCACCAGCTGTTCTTATGACAGGAGGCATTGATCAGTTTCTGTTCTGTTGCATTGAGTCTTATTTTATGCTGCACAAACACTGTACTTGCAGCATTTTATGTATTGTGGCAGTGATGAGTAACAAATTGCTCTAATTACTTCTGGCATTGTCACTCTCAGGTAATTAAGTTTAAGTGCTGTGAAGT